CGCGACGCGAGAGAGAGAGAGAGAGAGAGAGAGAGAGAGAGAATAAATGGTGGACGAGAGAAAAGAGGTGGAAAAGGGATCTTTGCAGGAATTCGTGCCAGGATCGACACGACGACAGGCTGTGCGACGGTCATTCCGTCAAAGGGTGTTCCTCGATCGACGATTTCGAGAAAATTCCAATTGGAATTTTCTTTCTTTTTTTTTTTTTTTGTTCTCTCGAGGGTCACGTTCGAGGGTAGATTACTCGAGGATTGATCGCAGAGGTTGTTGAAGTTCACTTCTTCAGTAATTTTGAGATTCCATTTTATAAAAAATATTGTTGAAAATATATTTATCGTTAGATAATATTCGCGCGTGCATTCCTTGAAATAAATTTCTAATTTCCAAGTTTGTTTTAAAGGGAGGAGGGGGAATTTGCGATTTAATCGTTCATCCAATTTCGATGGTTGCAACGTATTAATGGTCGGTGATAATTTTTAATTCGGTTAACCCTCTCGTTCCCTTCGACAAGTCTTTACGACTACGTAATTTAGAATTGTTACCAAGTTACGAGAAAAAAAAAATGTTATTCCCTAGATAAATTTTATTCAACTATTACGCAGTTGTTTCTAATCGCTTGTTTGCCGTGTAAATTGCAGAAAAAAGTTGCATAGTCAAATTTCTAAAATGGGGCTATGGTTAAATAATGAAGGAGACGAATGAAAGGGGAATGACAGGGTTAAAAATATGATATAATGGCAGACATGGCAGTGCGTCGAATATCGAGATCGGCAATAATTTAATCAACCTATCCGCGCCAGTTTTGCAATAATTTAGCGATAAGTGTTGCCTCCGTTGAGACGCGTGTGTGCATCGAGTAATTTACTCGCATAACGGGAAAATAAAAAAATAGGAGGGGAGAAAATAAAGAGCGGATGAGAGACTCGAGAGAAGACAATTCGAGGAACACTCGTCGCGATATATTTCGTTTGTAAAGAGGATAAGGGAATTAAACGCGGAAATAAAGTTAAGAAGAAGGATAGATTTAGACGGAGAGAGAGAGAGAGAGGAGGAGTGAGAGATGAAATCCTATCCGCGGTAGATGAATTTACTCGCGTTTTTTCCCAGATTATGCAATTTAAGATTGTTCTGTGTATATATATATATACATATATATATACATATATACACATATATATGACATAATCTTGGATCGTATCGATTATATTACGCAGGTGAGCGCACTGATTTGTAACACGTAACAAGAGGATTAAAAAAGAAGAAAAAAAAAGAAAAAAAAGGAAGAGTTGTTCGTGACAGAGAGAGAGAGAGAGAGAGAGAGAGAGCGAGAAAGTTTCGGGTGAATGAAGATGAGGAGAAAAAGCGAGGGGTGAAAGGAGAACGCGAGAGCGTGAAGGGTGAAAAGTGAATAAAAAATAAAAAGAGAGAAAGAGAGGGAGAGAAAGGGAGAGAAAGAATGAAGTATGAGAGGTGATATAGTGAGAAAGAACGTGTGAGAGAGAAGATAAGATTTTTGTACCACCCCCTAAATCAATTCCTGCTCTTCACCGAGCACCCTCCGAGATTAAAATAAAATTACACGAGTGTCTTTATTCTTATCCCCCATCCCCCCACCGTCGAGAAAAAGATTTAATGGAATACAAAACGAAGATGAATAATATTTGAAAAAGTGAAAAAAAAGTAAAAAAAAAAAAAAAAAAAAAGAACAGGAGAATTACGAAGAATGAGAGCATTCGCTTGAAAGAAGATATCGCCTCGAATTTTTTACAGCGTAGCTCAATAAAAATGTTCGCATTCAACAAATTGTACCGTCTATTTTATTTTTTCATAATTATCGAACCAAATTTCCGGCGTTTTATTTAGTTTAGCTCGATAAAAATCTTTCGTGGTATCTTCTATATTTTGAACGATTCGATTTAAATAATTTTGATAAATAATTTTTTATTTTCTTTAGAATTTTTCAGAGTGTGTAATATCGAAAATATTTCGTATTAAATATAAAAAGATACTACGGACGGTTAATAATTAAAATTTATCATCAAATTATTCCAATTTCCTTTGTCGTGGTGAATAATTTTCCACAAACCGTATATAATTCCGTATAAAAGCTATTACATATTAATTTTTATGACGAAGAGAAATAAAGTAAAATCGAATAAATATTTTAAAATTCGATTAAAAAGAAAATTGAAATAATTCTCCGTAAGGGTGATACGGTGGTGCGAACAGGAAATGGTGGGGGTTGCAATGGTCCCAGGTTTAGCGAGGAATTCGCATTGTGCGTCTATATAAGTTTTCGTACATTACGTAAAAATACGTTTGTTATATATTTTCACTATGCTGACACGTACTTGTGTGCCTCACTACCCACCTGCCACGTATTATCCTACGATTTTACCTCATTCTCGCCGCACCAGGGGTGAAGGGAGCCACCCCAAGAAAGATTCTTCGCGAAGGCGAAACGATACAAAATGAAAAGAAAAGAAGGAAAGTTGAAGGAAGAAAATATGTCGAAAAAGAGTTGCTGAAACAAACGTTATATATATTCGCTGTTAAATATTATAAATCGAGAAAGTGACGAGATTAAAAATAAGACGAATTCTTATACTTACGTATATATATATATATATATGCACATATATATGTATATACATATATGTAAGTATACATATTATATTATTTTATCGGTTTCGAGAGGGTGAAATAACTGAGTGTGAAGGGAAAAAAAAAAAATTTGTATCTTCTTTTCCCACCTAGTTGCTTACATTTGTATACAGCTAGAATATATTAAAAGATTACGTGAGTAGTTTTTTAAAACGATCCAAAGAGTTTTCCTTCCTTACACTGTTTTTTTATAGTCTACTTTCATTTTCTCTCCTTTTTTTTTTTCTATCTTTCTTTCTCATTTTAAAACATAACTTTAAACGAAATGATATTTGAAAAAATTTATAAAAGATAAAAAAATTAATTCTTTATAATTATCATTAAAAAAAATTTTTTTTAATGTTGTAAAAAAGTATTAAAAAATCGAAACATGATTTGATATCGAAAGGAGATATTAAAAGAGGGAGAAAAGGATTAGATTTGATGTTTTCAACATTGGAAAGGAAAAAAATTATTTAAAAAAGAAAATAATAAATTAGTTTATATAAGAATATATATTTATACATCATTATATATATATATATTCTTATATAAATTAATATTTATTTCTATAATATATATTTTATATGTTTTGAACATTCGACAGTTTAAAAGATTGAGTTTAGTAATAGTAAGTATGTCAAATTCTATTATTATAAAATAATAAAAAATGTTTTTTTTTATTAAGTTATTAAAAGTACAATATTTAAAAGGATAAGTATGAAAAGTAAGTATATTAAATTCTAAGAAAAATTTCACGTATATATCAATTCTATGTTTCAATTTAAAGATTTGAAGAGTTCTTGGAAATGATGTCAAATTCTTGGAATTTCTGAAATTCTTAGAAATGACATCAAATTCCTAGAATTACTAAAAATTTCTAAAAATTTTTTGGGCTCCGGTTTAAAAATTTATACTCGTTTACAAACAAAGGTTTGTTTATTTGTTATTTTCAATATTTATTTATATTTTTTATTGATTTTGAGAAAATTTTTTTCGAAATGTAAGTGATCAAATTTTATTATATTTATCTATTCGATACTTATCCTTATCTTATCTTCTAAATTTGTTTGTACTCACATTTCGCTATTTTATACGACATTGAATCTTTTCAGAAATATTCAAGAGATGGTACTGATTTTTAATTCTTACTATGATTTTAAAAAAGTGATATCTTTGATAACTAATAGGTGGCACTGATAATCAATTCCTATGTATCTCTATCCTTTTCCCACCGTTTACTCTCTTTGTCAATATTTGTTTCATCCGCAGCACTCTGAAGATGGCGCTAATTTCTTCATTTTTACCCTATCCCCATCCTTGTCTTACTATTTGCCTCCCTATATTTTTACAATCTTCTATATATAAAATAAATGAAATTTATTCGTTTATTTATTCATTTAGCATTCAGTTTATATTTTCTACAGATTATTTATTTAGTTATTCTTCTCTTTAAAATATCATATACGTTTAATAATACATTGTACATATGATTTAATAATACTTTACATCAATACTTCGTAAAAATTTAAATGATAATTTTCTCCCTGTCGCAAATATCATTCACAACAATCAGTCTTCTTTTATCCTCATTCGCATCTTTCCATTCATTCGTGTTAAAGAAACAAAATCATAGAACGATGAACAATTTAGCTGGTTTCGCTTGATGAGAAGAAACAGAAAGAAGATAATCATATATAATTCGTAGCAAGGCTAGGAACTACGCCGCTTATTTACACTATTAAATTACAATTTTTGGTTGAACTGTATACGCATTAGGGTAAAATGATAATTGACTCTTAAAACGATAACCCGAAAACCGACGATAAACTAACTATATTAGATTTATTTTTACACAAGTAGGCAAAATTTACAATAATTACAAGAGAAGTTTTACGAGACAGTCGCCCGCAAACTGTCTTTCAATGTCTATTAGCACTTCATTTAGAAATAAATCATTTCGTTTCGAATTCGTTTGTCCCTAAAAGAACAAATTGTTTCATCGAACAAATATATTATCTAATTATTCAAAATTGTTATGTGATTCTAATATTAATTATTTCATCTACCAGCACTTTTTCGCTTTATCGTATAATTCGAAATACTTCGAATATTTGCGCTCGTGCAAGCAAACTTTTTCTTTTATAATTCTTTCTAATTCCTCGTCTAATCAATCGTCGAAGAGTCGTTTCAACTCCGCCACTAAAGATTAAACAATTAAATAATACCTATTATTTACAGCGAAAAAGAATTCTCTCTTCCTTCCTTCCTTTCTTCCTTCATTCGACCAAGTATACTCGTTCGTATCGTATAACCAACCACCGCGTTACTCAAAAAATCAAACGATCGATCGATCGATCGTTCGAACATTTATACAAAGCATTTGCACAAACAAGCGTTGCACCCAAGCAACATTATCTGGATCCATATCTTTTCTCTCGAGCATCGTAACCAACAACCGCGTTACTCGTTATCAAGAAACAATTTCGGTCAATCGGACGGGTTTATCGTGTAGCACAGCATTCGTGAACAAGCGTTGCATCCAAGCAACGTTATCCGTGTCGTTTCCCTTGCTCCTCAAGCTGGCCTCAGTACCAGCTGTAAAAAGGTTGATGAGGAGCGGGTCTGGGTGGTTGTTGGAAGCCTTGGGCGCCGTAATGGGTCGCGAAGGCTTGATGAGGATGCGCGTGAGGTTGTTGAAGCGTCGCGGGGGGGCTTGGAAGCGCAACTCTTCCGCTTGCAGAGATCGGCAGATTCCAGGACGGGGAGGAACTGCCTTGCTGGCCGGTTTGCTGCTGTTGTTGTTGTTGTTGTTGTTGTTGGGAGACGGGCGACACCGAGTTGATGGGCAGATCCGTGGGGGTGAGCTGGTCGGAGGGCGGGTTCGAATTGCCGGAATTGGGGCCCATCATGGTGACGAGAGAGTTGGGGGTCGGCGGAAGTTGATGGCCGCTCGCCTGTTGATAGGTGGACGAGGACACGGCGGCGGCCGCCGCCGACACTTGGTGGCTCATGTGGGTGGTGCTGGTGGACGAGGTGGCTGGCAAGAGCGAGCTTGGGTAGGTGACCGATGCCGGGAGGCCGTAGCTAGGCGTCGAGCCGACGGACGAAGGGAGCCGGGCCGAGTCTGGCGTCAGCTGGTGGGACATGGCTCCGTGGTGCGAGGAGTACAGCTCTGGAACTGATGGTTGTGAAAATGAAGATGGATCTGTGTTCGTATAATAATTGAAAAAGGGGGATGGGCAGAATAGGAATTATACGCGTAGATTCGAAGAAAAACTTCGCTCTTAATTGGAATGCACGAAACCTCGAGGCGAACGATTCTCGAGTGATGTTCCTTTTTTTTTTTTTTTCTCCTTTTTCCTTTCGTACATCCGTGGCGTCATTAGATCCCTAATGAATCCATGGTACATCGTATAAATTACATAAGTACGTCATTAGGTAAAGCATTACGTGGCACTTTTTTTTTTTACCGCAAGATAAACTCGCATCCCGACGGAGGAGAGGCAAGCAAGCATTAGCTAGACGATAAAAAAAAAGGAAAAAGAAAAAGAGAGAAAGAAAAAGGAATGAAACGAAACGAAACGAATGCAAGAATCGAACGTAAGATTAATAAAATGCTGCTTACCTTGACTCGAGGAGAAGGTGGTGTCGGGCAGGCTCTGTCCATGGGGATGAGGATGCGGATGACTCGGTGGAACGGCTGTGGCGGCGTGTGGATGGGGAGCGGCGGGCGGGTGGAGGACGTAGGAAGCTGCGGGATACGCGACAGAGCTGACGTAACCGCCGGAAGTGGTCGAAGACAACTGCTTTCTCAGCCTGGCCCTTCTATTGCTGAACCACACTTGGATCCTAGCCTCGGTTAATTTCGTCCTCTGCGCCAACTCCTCCCTCGTGTAGATGTCCGGGTACTGGGTCCTCTCGAACGCGCGTTCCAATTCGTCCAGTTGATGGGCGGTGAACGTGGTCCTGCTTCTGCGCTGCTTCCTCTTCAACGGGATCCCGGGCTCGCTGTCGCAATCGGATCCGGAACTGGTTTTACCTGAAAAGCGCGAAACGACACGATCGCTCACCGATTCTCAACGATTCGATTTCGATCACTTTTTGCCGAAATTTTCGAACGATAATCTCTTCTTTTTCTCCTTTCTTATGAATCGTTACGAGGGGAGAAGGAGAAGGAGGAATAAAAAATTACTACTCCGCGGTAATCGGAACGTTGCAATAACTCACGTGGGAGGGTACAAAAATAAAAATGATAGGCAATAAATTAGGTAGAAATTATGCACCGTAAACTCCGTTTAAGATGTAATTGATTTCCTTTCTTGAGGGGTAAGGGATAATTAGAGAGCCGTGTGTTATACCAGTAGGTATATTAAACGGTGATCCAGTGGTAGTGGTAGTGCAAGGTAATTTTCGTCGTAAAATGTCCTGCTCGGGCCACGAAACGTGAAACGAAACTGGGTAAAAGGCAGAGAGAGAAAAAGAAGAAAAAAGAAAACGAGGAATAAGTGCAAGTATGAGAATAAGGCGAAGGCAAATGACGGAGTCCCGTCTAATAATTATTAATTCCCCCATGCACGTGTCACCTGCTCAACCACGTCTCCGCAGGTGAATGCACGTCCTGGTTTATGGTTTGTTTTGCCGTGCGAGAGTTCAAAAGGAACCGCACTCCAATTCCCATTCTCCTGCTTGTTTCACACTCGATTTCACGATCGACTTGTTTCACCTTATATCCCTCTACCATATTTTATTTCCTTGTATTTTACGATCCAACCATTCCTCGAACATTTCTTATCACAATTTATAGCGGAGGATGCATTTTATTATTTTTACTTAATATTTTTATCGCGAAAGGAAATTTGTTTTCTCTTTTTCTCTCTTTTTTTCTTTTTTTTTTTCTTTATAACTTAATTTTATAAACACTTTGGAAGAAGACGACACGATTATTATACGCGATTGTATATTTATACATCGATCGAGCGAGATATCTTTCGAGGAACGATTCGAGAATTGTGAAACGCGGAGCGGAAAAACAGCTATTACTAGTCAATAGTAACTTGGATGATAGAGACAAAGATGTTGGAATTATTATTAACGGCGATCGAGGGATTAAATAGACCGCGAGCACGAGCGGCCGCAAGAAATATGATTTACCGCAAGGACACCCGAGCAACCGAGCAAGAAAAGTGACGAGTGATGACTGATGACTGATGACAGTAGAAAAACACGTTCCAAGATCCTTTCCCTTCGATCGTCGAACGAGCACTGATAATAAGGATACGAGTTTTGCCTCGAGTGTATACCAAATGGCTGCTCGACCTTCTCGCCACTTCAACACGTACCGTTTCATATTAATGAATTTCCGTACCTCTTCTTGTTAAACCATCTATTTATTCTTCGATATTTCTTCTTCTTTTCTTCTTCCTCTTCTTCTTCTTTTATGTACAGACTGGTTTACTTTCACCTCTATTAATTTCTTCCCTCCCCTCCCCCCCCCTCCTCCTCCTCCCGAGGAATAAATCGTTGAAAAATGATTTTTTCCACCACGTTGTCTCTCCAATAAAATTACTTCTCTATTTCTCCCAATCCAATTATCCAAATCCATCGATTAAAATCTTTCTCGAACGAAATTTCTTCTGTATCGATTTCAATCGTCTATCATTCCACTTTTACTTTGAAAAGTCAAGTTCAAACTAATTAATTATTCTCCTCCACCGCCGTCGGACGAAAGAAAACTTCGTTCAAAAACTTGCTTCCTTCCTTTCTATCCTCTGTTCCTTTGTCTTCTCGAGGAAGACGGAGATAAAAAGGAAGAAAAAAGAAGAAAAGGAACGAATGCGTCGCATGGTCGGTCGCATTTTTAGATTATCGTAGATTCATCATCGCGAAGGCAGAGAGCGAGAGACACGGACGAGACACGGTTGCGAGAAAAAAGAGAAGGAACGTGGCCGTTTCTTCCGGCGAGAGAGCGTCCTGAAATTGTCGACTGGGTTTACACGGGCCGCGACTAATCGGCCGACGACGCCTGACGCCGGGACGCCCCGTGCTGCTCATGCCCATTCGACACGGACTCTATTCCCGGACGGACCGTTTCTTCCCCCTTTTCGAGCGTCGCCTCGTTTCTCCCACCTCGTTTCTTCTTCCCTCCTTCTATTCCCCTTTTACTCTTTCTCTTCCCTGCACTCGAGAAATTGCTTGGATTAGACGTTATTCCCATCCCAATGCATGGAATTATAAAGCGACATGGAAAAAAAAAAAAGAGCGCGTATTTGTTTCTTCTTTGCGTTAGGCGAAAAGAAGAGAAGAAGAAAAGGCAGAGGAGGATGATTTCGCGATGAGATTAAGCGATTCGAAGGTGGAGAAAGGAACGTTTGAAATTTTTTACGTTGATGGATTTTGGAAGATTCTCCGGGATTTCTTTCTGAAGAAGACGCTCACCACCAGCAGTAGGCCGTTCATTTCATTTAAGAGTAGAAATCGAACGTGGCGAATTTGCAAAATCACGACAGAAATTACATCTTTCATGGGACTAAGCGGCGGCCACTGGCGGCTAGTAATTACCAAACTTTCGAACCCTCGCATTACCCCCAAGGGAAAAATTGCTAGGTAGGAGGAACGTTCAAACCGTTCTCTCTTCTTGCGTGGACCAGAAAACTTTTTTGATCAACCGCGTGACACCCGCTATTTTCTCTTCCGATAATGGAAAACGATATATCGAAAGAAGAAAAAAAAAAAAAACGAGACACGATAATTTTTTAATTTTTTATTTTCTTTTTCTTGCTTATATCGTTGAATATCGTTGAATACATATGGAAATTTGTAAACTCGACTCGTTAATTTTTCTGATCGTTTACGGCATGAATGTAATGTTAATCTCGTTAATGCCCGTTCCTACCGCGAGGTTAAAGATTAAAAAGAAAACGAAGAAACGGTATTTTCACAGCAGTTTGACAAGTACAAGCGTTCAATGGTCGGCGCCTTTTTAGGCCTCTCACCCTCTCCGTGGTAACACGTTGTTTTTGCCCTTCTCTTTTTGTTTTGAAAGGGCACCCGACCATCGGCCTGATCGACTTACAAATCTACGAGCAGTTTCTTCTCGTTTTGCTCTTTCATCTTCGCCGGCATGCATTTTCGAATGACCCCCACCGATGGACCACCGTTGCGTCGGTAGTAAAAACTTTCATTTGTCTTATCGCCAAACTAAAGTCGAAACAACCCCTCCACTCGTGAGAAATTCTTTCTTTCTTCCTTTATCGAAAAATTGCACAATAAAATATATATATATATTATAGCATATATTAAATTCAAATCTTCAACCAATTCGTTATTAAAAATAAAATTTTTATTCCAACATCACTCCATTTATTCCTTTCCTTCTCCACCAAATTCCACGAACCATCCCCTCCCTCGACAAAAATAAAAATCATTAACTTCTTTCCAATTAATTAATCTCCAATATATCGATCTCAAACCCTCCAATCCCAATCTCTCGATCCGGTTGAAAGTAAAAATCTGAATGAGCTCGAACGATGGATCGATCGATCGATCGATCCACCGTTGCACGTGAACTTCACCTTACAAGGTAACCGAAAAAAAGGCGAAGGATCGAAGGAGCGGAGCGCGTTCGATCACCCGATTCCTTCACCACCGCCTATTCGAACCTTTCGTACGTGCACGTGGGCATGTACCGGGCGGCGTGGAAATTACAGAGGAGCGCGCGACTGCTACCGGCTGCTGCGCGTCGGCGAAAAAACGTTAACCGGTAATTTCAAAGATCGAGAAACGGGGAGCTGATTAAACGCGCCAACCACATTTAATTTATTCATTCATTCGTTTCTCTCGTGGTGGAGAGAGAGAGAGGAAGAGGAAAGAAGGCGCGTAGATCCCGTAGGTGGTCTGGACCAGCTGATGGGGCGTGTCGATTCTATCTTCCTTCATATACTATCCCTCGATGCTTCCAGTTTCGTTCGCGGCTGTTACTGTACAAATGAATTTTAAACCGCTCGCACCTGTTTTCTTCCCCTCTTCGTGCTTGAATTGTCGATCGAGGAAGAGCGGTTCTATGTAAATGGAAGTAATTGTGATCCTTTCTTTTTTTCTGAATTTTTTAAGTAATTTACATCTCTGCGTCACTATAAATGAATTTTGAATTTATATGTTCAAAATTCTGTTTTTTTTTCCTCTTCGTGCTTGAATTGTTGAAGAAGAGTGTTTCTATTTGAATGAAAGTAACTGTGATCCTTTCTTTTTTCTTTTTTTCTGAGTTTTTTAAGTAATTTATACCTGTTCTCTGCTTCACTACAAATGAATTTTGAACTACTCATATCTGCTTTCTTATTGTCTTTGCG